CCTCACTTACTCCTGCCCCCCAGGGCCAGTTCCACCCCCCAGTGCCCCCAGTCTCACCTGTGACATCTGGGGACGGGGACAGATGTCGTGGGGGGGCACGGCACGGGGCAGGAGGGCATTGAGGAGGTGACAGAGCAGCACCCCATCCCGCAGCGCCTGTGCCAGGTCCCACACTTGCCCCCCGGGGCTGCTCGCCCGGTGGCCTGCGGGCAGCACCCGTGCCGCCACCAGCCAGTGGGCGCACTGCCTCCATGCCTCCATCCCGGTGGGATGGCGTCTAGGGAGCAGCCAATGGAGATGGGTCCTGGTGGGACCACTTCTTGGGAGAAGCTGATGGAGATGGGTCTTGGTGGGACCACTTCTGGGGAGAAGCCGATGGAGAGGAGATCCTGGTGGGATGTTGTCTGAGGAGCAGCTGATGGAGATGGGTCTTGGCGGGACCACTTCTGGGGAGGAGAAACAGAAGATGAGGTCCTGCAGTGCAACCACTTCTGGTGAGGTTCCGATAGATGTGAGACCTTGGTGGGACCACGTACGGTGAGGAACCAATGGAGGTGAGGCCCTGGTGGGATGACTTCTGGGGAGGAGCCGATGAAGATGAGTCTTCGACCACTTCTGGAGAGGCTCCCACAGCAAGGCGGGGGTCCTTCCCCCCCAGGAACCACCACGTTTGGGGAGGAGCTGGTGGCAATGGGGCCCCGTGGCACAGCTGCCGGCGGTGAGAAGCAGCCGGCGTCGGTCTTCTTCCCCCCGCTGCCGCCACGCCTGCAGAAGACCGGCTGCTGATGGGCTCCTTCCCCTTGGCCCACCCACGTCTGGGGAGGGTCTGGTGGCCTCGGGGACCACCCGGTGTGGGTAGCAGCAGTGGTGCGGCCCAGCTGGGCCTGGGGGTTCGCAGGGGTGCCGGAAGCCAGCGGTGCCGCGCCTGCGCCCTGGGCTGCCGCGGGGGCCAATGGGAACGTCTAGACTGTGCCGGATGCCCGGGGTCCTTCCCGCCCCGGTGCTTGCAGCCGGGGAGAAGCAGCCACCCCCCAAGAGGGGCCCCCCTGTGGTCACAGCCTGTGGTGGTGGAGGGAACGGGGGGCCCATGGGGGGACCTAGGTGTCCGGGACCCATGGGGGGAACCCAGGCATCCAGGAGTTGGAACCCACACCGAGGGTCCCATGAGGGACCCAGGCATCTGGGCATGGTGACCCAATGGGTCCCATGAGGGACTCAGGCACCTGGGACCTGTCAGGGGTCTCAGGGGTGACCCAGGGGTCCAGGTCCTACTAAGGGTCCAGGAAGGGACCCAGGTGTCCAAGTCCAGGAGGGGACCCAAGTGTTGGGGGTCCAGGAGGGGACTCAGGCATCCAGGTCCTACCAAGGGTCCAGGAGGGGACCCAGGGGTCTGAGTCCAGGAGGGGACCCAAGGGTTGGGGGTCCAGGAGGGGACCCCGGCATCCAGGTCCTACCAAGGGTCCAAGAGGGGACCCAGGGGTCCGAGTCCAGGAGGGGATCCAGGGCATCCAAGTCCAGGAGGGGACCCAGGGAGGGGGGGTCCAGGAGGGGAACCAGGCATCGAGGTCCTACCAAAGGTCCAGGAGGGGACCCAGGGGTCTGAGTTGAGGTGGGGACCCCGGCGTCCAAGTCCAGGAGGGGACCCAGGTGTCCAGGTCCTACCAAGGGTCCAGGAGGGGACCCAGGGGTCCAAGTCCAGGAGGAGACCCAGGTGTCTGGGCCCTACCAGGGGTCCAAGAGGGGACCCAGGTGTCCAAGGAGGGGACCTGGGCAAGGGGGGGGTCCAGCAGGGGACCCAGGTGCCCAGGTCCTGCCCACCCCCACCCCATGACCATCCTGGGTCATGGGTGTCCCCTGGTGTCCCTCCATTCCCCGTCGCGTTCCCCCCTCTGGTGTCCCTCCCCACCCCACCCC